GCGCTGCCCCCCCGGCGTCACCTCCCGGGAGCTCCTGAGTCCTTCCACGGCCGGAGCGGAGCGTGTATCCGCACGCACTGCCGGCAGCGTGCGGCCTTCTGCCGAGTACAGCCTCACTCTGTGATGGTGGGGGGTTTTAGGGAAGTTGCGTGGTTTGGATTTTGCAGTCAAAATACTAATGCTGTCACCTCCTGGTTAAACATCGACGTCCTTCATGCGATCAGAACTCACAAAACACCCACTACCTTGTCTGGAACACGTGTGGAGGTTAGGGGACTCCTGCAGGCAGAGTTGGCGGCAGCCGTCCAGGAATTCTTATATTGCACGATAAGGCAGGTTGGGTCACACCTGCAGCTGTGCTTTAAGGTGCTCCAGGAACAAACATCGGGCTCACGTGCTTTGGAAATTAAAGCTCCCAGATAAAACAATTTGACTCTGCCGTGAACTATTTGGTAGCTGATTAGGGCTAAAGAATCCCTTTTTCACCATCTCAGTAGCATTTGGTATCATCTGTAGGTAGTGTCTGCTGTTTCGTGGAGCATTTGTTCAGGTCATTGAAACTGTTGCACTGACTGAATACAAATATGTAAATTTATGTGTGTTTAATGTGACACTTGTATTATCTTTAGTTTAGCTTAGTTTTATAAATAGGACATTTTGGGCATCTCTCTCCCATAATATTTGGTGGATTCTTTTGAAATTGATGGATTTTTTGTTTATTATTAATTTTTGCAAATTTACTGTTGAAGAAGCCTAGCAAGACAAATTGATCATTAACAGATACCTTAATGAGCCCTGTATTAGACAGAACCCTTCAAAACACTGCTGTTTCTGTGTTTGTATTACCTACCTTCTTAGGCTGAAGCTTAGGAAAGTTGGAAGTGTTAAAAAAGTGAAAGTGTTAAAAAAGAGACATTTTCAGAATGATAGATGGGAGGTAAAAGAAGTTATGAAATCCTGCCACATTGATACCAGTGAAGTTTTATCACAGAATCACTAGGTTGGAGGAGACCTTTAAGATCATCTAGTCCAACCCATGCCCTAATACCTCAAATAAACCATGGCATCATTTATTACAGGATTTCCTAGCTTGTTCCTGAGTAAACTGCACTGATCAAATTGCAGTTGACCTTTTTGTTTCCAGTGTGGTGGATTGGTGCTGGCTGGTCACCAGTGCCCACCAGAGCTGCTCCATCACTCCCCTCCTCAGGGGAACTGGGAACAAAGGATATAATAGAAGCTCATGGGTTGAGACAAGAGCAGAGAGAGATCACTCACCAGTTTCCAGCACAGGCAAAACAGACTTGACTTGAGGAAATTACTTTATTGTCAGTGAGATCACTGTCAGGTAATGAGAAATAAACCCAAATCTTCAAACAGCTCACCCCACCTTTCCCTTCTTTCCAGGCTCAGCTTTAGTCCCGGTTTTCTCTACCTCCTCCCACCAGCAGTGCAGGGGGATGGAGAATGGGGGCTGCAGTCAGTTCATTGCACACTGTCTTTATTTCTCCTTTGACTCCTCACACTCCTCACCTGCTCCAGCGTGGGGTCTCCCACAAGAGACAATCCTTCCATGAACTACTTTAGCCTGAGTCCTTTCCCCAGGCTGCAGTTCTTCACAAAATGCTCCAGCTTGGATCCCTTCCACAGGTGCACTCCTTCAGGAACAATCTGCTCCAGCCTGGGTTCTCCATGGGCTCACAAGTGCTGCCAAGCAAACCCGTGTCAGTGGGGGCCCCTCTCTCCATGAGGCCATAGGTCCTGCCAGGAGCCTGCTCCAGCACAGGCTTCTTCTTTCAGGCATCAGCCCACGCTGGTGTGGGGTTCTCCAGGGGCTGCAGATGGATCTGTGCTCCACCATGGGCCTCCATGGGCTGCAGGGGCACAGCTGCCTCCCCATGGTCTGCACCAGGGGCTGTGGGGGAATCTCTGCTCTTGAACCTGGAGCAGCTCCTCCTTCTGCACTGACCTTGGTGTCTGCAGGGCTGCTGTTCCCACAGATTCTCGCTCCTCTCTCCAGCTGCAGTTGTGCACATTTCTTTCCCCCCTCTTAAATCTGTTGTCCCAGAGGTGATACTACCATTCACTGATGGGCTTAGCCTTGGCCAGCAGTGGGTCCATCTTGGAGGCAGCTGGTGTTGGCTCTGTGAGACATTGGGGAAGCTTCTGATAGCTTCTCACAGAAGCCACCCCTGTAACTGCCCCACTATCAAAACCTTGCCATGCAAAGCCAGTGCTGTACTAAGGAGCTGTGGCCAAGGAATTGTTTCTGTTTGATTGTTTTAGTTTCAGAAGCTAGGGTAGCAAATTTTTTTAGATAATACAGGGTTCACAGTACATCAGAGATTAAAAAAATAAGCAGTAATTCTAAAAAACTATCTGTACCCTTTTCATAGGATTTTAAAATACTTTTTGAAGAAATTCCATATCAGCAGTAGTGTTGATTTTTCAAAAGCTCAGAGGATTCAGAATTGCTTTAGAAACTCTTGAACTCTGTTACTGGTATAACAAATGATACTTGGGTCTTATAATGCCGACTGTTAAAATAATTTTTTACTAAAGCTTTTCTGTTTTTCTAGGCACCTCCTGTAATATTCATAATTAAAATGGCAAAACCAACTGATCCTTCTGAGAAACTGATCATCCACTCCAAAGCTCACAAAGATACCATTCTAGCTAATTTTGAGGAACAAAGAAAAAAGGATTTTCTTTGTGACATTACTCTGATAGTGGAGAATGTGCAATTTAGAGCCCATAAAGCTTTGCTGGCTGCCAGCAGTGAATACTTCTCAATGATGTTTGTAAATGAGGATGAAATAGGGCAGTCAGTTTATATGTTGGAGGGAATGGTGGCAGACACCTTTGGAGTTCTGCTAGAATTTATTTACACTGGTTGCCTCTGTGCCAGTGAGAAAAGCACAGAACAAATCCTGGCTACTGCTCAGCTGCTGAAAGTAACTGACTTGGTCTGGGCCTGTACAGACTACCTGGAAAGCCGCAGCCCAGGCAGTGCATTGCCAGCTCCAGCTGAAAGTGCAGCCTCTGTTGTTACAAGTGACAGGAAAAATGATGATCCACCAAAGCGAAAACGGGGGCGGCCAAGGAAGATCAAGATTGTCCAAGAGGAAGAAGAAGAAGAATCAGGAGCAAATTCTGCCGAAGACGGGCAGCTGAGAGAGAACAACTCTGTGCAAAATGAGCAAAATTATATGAAAAAAGACACTGAAGTAGAAGAAACAGTTGCCAATGAACAGGCTTCAGTGGGGAAAGATGGAGAAGAAAGTGAACCTGCTTGTGGCTCAGAAGCTGCTGTTGATCTGTCAGCTGAGAAAGATGAAAACTACGATCCCAAATCGGAAGGAATACAGAGCACTCAGAGCCGTTACAGCAAACGTAGAATAAGGAGATCAATCAAACTAAAAGATTACAAACTTCTTGGGGATGAGGATGAGAAAGGACTGGCAAAGAGAGCTGATGGAAAAAGAAAGCGTGTGGGTTCTGAAGCTCGCTGTAAAGACTGTGGCAAAGTATTTAAGTACAGTCATTTCTTGGCTATTCACCAGCGGAGCCATACAGGTAGGCCTTGACAGACTGCTGCTGCTTTTGGGTTAGATTAAGGAATGCTGCCAAAGGCAAGTGACTCTTGAGGTGTTGGTTGTTGACTGCAGCAAGAATATCCAAAATGCATGCTGATCCAAATTACGGTTTGTTCTGTGTCTGCTGTTTTATTCTTGTCAGCAGATCTCAGAACCTTTATGTCTCACCTAGATTTCAGAGTAATTAATAATTTCATTGTTTAAGCACTGAATTATATGGCAATAGCTAAATAATTATTTTATTCCTGTGTGAAGCTTGCCTCTTTACCACTAATCGAGACTAATTTTTTCAGTAGCTACAACATTGCAATACATCTCACTATCAGCTTAGACTGTCTAGTGAGAAATGGTGCATCTATGCCTAAAAATGTCGTCTTTTGCTTTCAGGGGAACGCCCTTTTAAATGCAGTGAGTGTGGCAAAGGCTTTTCCCAGAAGCATTCTCTTCAAGTGCATGAGCGGATGCATACCGGGGAACGGCCGTACACGTGCACCATTTGCAGTAAGGCTCTGACAACAAAGCATTCTCTTCTGGAGCACATGAGCCTACATTCAGGTAAATACTTCAAGGCAAATGTAGCTCTCTGCTGCAAGAATTTGCCTTTCTGAAAACAAGGTACTTCTGATTCATCTTGTCTATACTGGTGTCACATTCCACTAAGGGAAACTGTGAGGAGTTCTTTTAAAAATGAATAGTCAGGAACAGAATAATGTCAAACAAGACAAACTTTGTATCTGAGAATCTTTTATTGGTAATGAAAAAACCAAAATGAAAATAAGTTATCCTGCTAAAGAGAGCTAGAGAAGGTAGAACAAGAGAAAGAAATATGGGAGAGGAATGGGAGGAGAGAGAGGGGAGACAGAGAGAAAAAGAGAGCTTTACCACCAGAGGTCGGGGATGTGGATGCTGCCAGCCTGGGCACGGCTCCTGCAGTGACGGGCAGCTGGACACAAGGTGAGGGGGTGCTCAGGCAGGAGGTCCAGAGCCCTGGACACAGCTATGGCAAGGGTCACAGCAGTGGGTGGGGTTGGACGCAGGGATGTTGGGACAAAGCAGACAGGGAGTTGGTCGGGGACACAGGGAGGCAAGACAGACACAAGGGTGAGCAAGAGCCAGCGAGGGCAAGAGACCCAAAAGGCAGACTGGGGCCAGGGCAAAAAGCATAAGACTCAAAAAGCGCCAAATTGAAACCAAGTTGCAAGAAGCCCCTCGAATCACCAAGCCTCTGAAGCAAAAGCACAGTCTGACAAAAGCCTGAAGCCAGAAGCCCAACTCAGAAAGCAAGTTTGAAAAGCCACAGGGCTTGTGACACAGTTACATTTCATGCCCTGGCTCCTCCGAAAGTGCACCTGCTGACAGGAGACCATTGGCCCAGTCCAATGTCCCAGTGCAGTCCATTGGCAGAGACCTTTTGCCATCTGACTGGAGATTGTCTCTGGGGTACAGTGTCTTCAGTGTTCCCCTCCTGACTGCCTGTCCTATGCCAGCCATGAAAGGTCTCCCCAGAGGCAAGGCTTTCCTCCATCTTTTCCCAGGTGTATCCTGGGCGTGGCACATGTGCAACCCCTCTCCCATGTGCCTCTGACAGCCATTGTTGAGGCAAATCAAAACTGAATCGGCTCCTCACAGCTGACTTTTGTATTTTATTTATTTCCTTACACTTTGGACGTGGCTTACATTTTAATAAGTGATTTTCTCTACAGGGCAGAAGGCTTTTACCTGTGATCAGTGTGGGAAATACTTCAGCCAAAAGAGACAGCTCAAGAGCCACTATCGACTACACACAGGTATAACAAGTTTGGGTTGAGGACCTGGCTTACAGTCCATGCTGATTTGTCCTCCTAAAGATTGATTTAGGCTGAAAGTTCTTCCTTGGTGATGTATTCAGTCTCTGCTACCTTGATGTTTCCTATGTTGGACAGGTATAAAACAGTGAATAGGGTGAAAAAGACATCATGGTGTGTAGTAAATGCAATGTGTACGAAAGTGTTTAGTTGAGAAGGGCTCTTATGATGATTAAAAATTAGTTACACTGTACTTGACATACAACTTGATTATTTTAGCCCTGCTGTCCATCTATGTAGAAGCTGCGAATTGTATAAACAATTGTGTCTGCTGCCTGGTGTGCAAATTGCATTGTAGTTGCCCACTACTTTGGACTAGTAAAGGCATACAGGCTTTAGGAAGTGTTCTTCTCACTTCTGGAATGGGATGGAGCTACACAAAGAGGAAGTGGTGGAGAAAATCAGAATTTACAAAGCTTCAAGTGAAGGTGTTTTTGGGTAGGAGCATGTGTCAGTCCCCTCTTTTCCCGTGGTAATACTAAACTGAGAAATAGGAGTGTGACAGTTAAGATAGGGAGGAGGCAGTGAATCACCTTCTGTTTTATCCCTATATTATAGAAAAGTGGTTATTTTACAGGAAAGTGCTTTAACAAAGATCACTGAAGAAATACAGGGGATCACTTTTGCACTGACACTTTTTTTGTTATTGCGACAAGGCCGTTCACTGCCGGAATGTAACCAGTGTCGTCGCAAATTCATGGATGCAGCTCAGCTAAAGAAACATCTAAGAACACACACAGGTAATGTTGTACCTTGGGTTTTGTGGGGTTTGTGGTTGGTTTTTTCTTGAAGTTACAGGGACAAAAAGATGTTAAGCAAATTACACTTGTCTCTGTGGCATGAACTTCTGCTCTACTTGTGCATAATGATGCCTGTGTTGCTAATGAAGAGATTTGACATCAAGAATGCAGGAGCACAAAAAAGCTTGTGTTACAGCAGCACAGAAGCAGTGCCTATTACAGGAAGAGGGCTTTTTTCCCCAGTTTTATAAAACCTGCTGCAGAAAATGCCAGTTAGCTTTCACGTGATAGAATCCTGGACTGAGAATTCAGTTTGTTGGGAGAGTTGTATCCAGCATGTATCAGGCTTGCAGTGAGCTGACAAGCAACAGAAGGTGTGTGTCCTAAATGAGTTGGACACCTCTGTCTGTGAGGGATGGGTGCTTATGAAATGTGCTGTGACCAGGAAAATAATTATTTCCATTTAGCTTTTACTGTGCCGTAATAAACCAGATGTTGAGAGGAGATGGGCTGGGAGGGATGATTTAATGCAAGTGCGTCAGAGGGTGTTTTAAGAGATTTAGAGGGCAGGCTGGTAATGAATCACTGGATAACAGAGATAAAAATGTTGATCTATCCTCTCATAATAGCAAGGCATAAACTTCATAAAATACTTCTCTTTGAAGAATAAGTTCATAAGGTGACATGTGAATAATTTTGTCTTTTAAAGTAACTAGAAATGGTGGCAATTGTTTCCTCACAAAATCAAATTATTCTTAAGTGTGTTGCTTGCAGTTGTAATACATAACTCATTCTCAAACATACTTTATCTCATTCATTTCCTTCTTTTTTCTAAGTGAAAAAGATTTAAATTTTCTGGGATATGCTAAGGCCAAAACTTGTCCTTCTGGGAGCTTTTGGTTATCCAGAATAGTGCTAGCATATGATACTTACATAATTTTGTATGGAGGAGAACTCAGTGTTGACACACGCAAGAGTTTTGTATCTGAAGCTGATACAGCTCTCTAAATGTAGCGGGAAATGAGTTTGGGGTGGGAAAGGAGAAGAGGAAGCTTACTAGCAAGGAAGGTTGCAAAAATATATGTGCTATGCTGTTTTTTAGCATAAACTGGCTTGCAATATATTTTGCTACTAGAAAAGACAGGCAAGATACAGACAGTATTAATTATATAGAAATAATAATTCACCTGTCCCATCCCAAAAGCAAAGTACAATTCCAAGGCATTTGGGGGACAGGGGTTCACATAGATAGAACTGTTCTACTTTGGCAGGAGTTTGGTAACACTGTTGTAACAATACTGTCTACTTGGGAAGTTACTCCTGTTTTCAGTAGCAAGCTGGGACTGGGTGACCAAGGCCCCTTCTGACAAATGTTTCTTGTTCTCTCATCCTTTATCCATGCCCTCCAAAGCCACATGAAAGCTGGTAAGCATTGCAGTTCTATGGTAAATGGGAAGCTTCCTTGGAAACTGGCTGCTGCCCAATCCCTGGGTTTGGTGAGCTTTGATGGTGTGAATTACCACAGTGATGATCTGGATTCTTGTGTCTGGTGTCTTAAAGAGCCTCAGTGCTACAAGGATTTGTTATGGTGTGAATTAGGATTTGCTTTGGTTGGCTAGTATCTGTTTCTTATGAACTTTCTTATAATTTAATTTGGCCTCTCTGCTTCTACTCAATTATCATCAGAATTCCAAATGCACTGAAAAAAACCCCAACAAATAAACAAAAAATCCCCAAACAAACTTACATTTTATTTAACTCACAATAGTTTAATTTTTTTCTAACTGGTGTTTCCAGACTATCATAGGCCTAGTGTGATGGAGCCTTATAGAAAGCCAGGCAAGTTGTTAAGATAATGGCCTAATTTTCCAGCTTTGGAAGTTTGGGCTTACTCATGTGGATGGTGCTGCACGTGAACGTGGCATTAATGCCAGGGTTCAGGGACAGCCTTTTTCAGAGTGTTTCTGTTCCATGTGGAACACACACATCTGTGCCATAGGCACAGCTTTTTGTTGCTTTGGGGGCTTGGATCATCTACTTCTTCATCTTCAAAGGGGAGAAATGCTAGAGCTGTACATTTAAAATGTTATACCCTCATTTTGACTAGTGAGTTCATTCAGTTTTGGGTATCTGCTGAACCATGGCAGAAGTGTGAGTAGCCATCAGTGTTCGCTTGATATTGTATATGGTAAAACACAAAATGTTTTTAATGAATTGATGAAAAGTGCTATTTCAAAAGGAAAGTCGCATTTCTTTTTGATAGGTGAGAAGCCCTTCACTTGTGAGATTTGTGGCAAATCATTTACAGCTAAAAGTTCACTTCAGACTCACATTAGAATTCACAGGTAAAGTATGTCTTATTTTCATTACATTCTTTTAAAATGCAACTTCTAGTCTTATAACTAGAAGTAGTGCTCATTTAACTGTAGAACGGTCAGGACTTGTTTACATTTTGAATGATTGTTAAAAATTTAACATTTTTGCTTAATCTATGTAAGGAAAAAATTGGTAGTGGAAAGTACTGAAGTCCTAAATGCTCATGCACCAAGATATTGTTGGAGTCTTCTTTGGTGTTTTGTGGCTGTTCACTGACAGTGTACTTACTGCTATACTGTTTTTGTGAAAATTTTACTGTAGGTTTTGTTTAAGAGCAGAACAGTAGCTGTGGTGTATCAAGGTTGTTGGAGCATTCTCCTGTTGTCCCGTGAGCTATCCTGTCTCTTTAACAGCATTAGTTGTCTTTTACCCCTGTCAGTGCAGTGCAATGCATTGCATAAAGACATGTTAGATTTTAAATTACTGGAGAACTCTTGTCTAAGAAAACATTTCCAGTAAAATTTCTTGTCCTTTTGACACAGGCAGCAAGTTAGGATTTGGAAACTTCTTTTTGGTTTGAAGTCCACACTGTTAATGAATGTTCTTAAAATGGTCAGTGCTTAGAATTGTGCGCTGTTGTTGCATTCTTGTCAAGGTCTAGCAGCATGGAGCTTGTACCTCGGTTTTTATGAGAGTAAGGCAGTTACCGCTGTAGCTCTGGAGTGTATAACAGTTTGTGATGTCAAATAGAGATAATCAGGAGATCAAATAGAGGATGTTTTTAACACTACCCTTTAAGTACTTACAATTTAGAAAAACAGTGTAATCATTTAAGTATTTTATTACAGAATTTCAGAAAGCAGCATTGTCAAAGTGAATATTTTAATGAGATCAAGTTCTTTCCTTTTGCAGAGGAGAAAAGCCATATTCTTGTGATATATGTGGAAAATCCTTCTCTGATTCCAGTGCTAAGAGAAGACATTGTATCTTACACACAGGCAAAAAGCCTTTTGCCTGCCCAGAATGTAGTTTGCAGTTTGCTCGTCTGGACAACCTGAAGTCTCATTTGAAAATTCACAGCAAGGAAAAGCAGTTCCAGGAAGGCAGCGCCGCCCCGAGCGCCAACGCTCATCCAGAAGAAGTGCGAAACATTCTCCAGCTGCAGCAGTACCAACTTGCCACCTCGGGAGGGCAGGAAATTCAGCTGCTGGTTACGGATGCAGTACACAACATCAACTTCATGCCCAGCCACAATCAAGGCATCAGCATTGTGACTGCAGAAAATGCCCCCAGCATGACCACAGAGCAGGCTGCCAACCTCGCGCTCCTTGCGCAGCCGCCGCAGCAGCTGCAAAACTTGTTGCTTTCAGCTCCACAGGAGCAAGCAGAACAAATTCAAAGTATCAATATGATTGCAAACCAAATAGAGGCTGCCCAGCCTGAGCAAATGCATGTCATCACTCTTTCCAAGGAAGCGCTAGAACATCTCCATGCTCATCAAGGACAAAATGAACAAATCCACTTGCCGGGATCTTCACATCCAGCTCAGCACGTGCAGCTGGCTCAGGAATCAAGTCAGCAGTCTCGCTCTAACCATGACACGGTTCCTTCCCATCAAGTCAGTGAGGAACAGAATCAAAGTGTACTTGTTTCTGAATCCCATCAGCAGCCTCTGTCAGTGAATGAGTCATCTCCTGAGCATCCTATCCAGGGACAGGCTTTCTGAAATGCTTGCTCGTCTGACGGCTAGGCTAGAGAATGCTTCTCATCCCAGCAGGGATTACATGTGTCACGTGGGGTTTTTTTGCAACATAAGCTATCCAAAGATGCATTTCTTGGTGATTTTGGATGAGTGACTCAATTTCCTTGACCATATTTATTTTAGACTACTTTGTTTTTCTGGATTGTTATTTCTTTACCATACTTAGTCCTCACAAGTATGTCATAAGCAATTAATGTGGGGTTTTGTGCCTCATTCACATCTCTGCCTCCTGAGGAGATATTTAGCCCTTATTTGCATTTCTGAGTGACTCTCCAGAGAAGTTCACCTGGCTGGTAGGAGAACAATGTTTAGGACATCTGTGGATCACAAAGTACCACTTCCCTGACAAACTTAACATTATACCTGAGCTACTGTCAAGCTTAAGACAACCAGTACTTTTTGCAAAGCTAACACCATATTTCTTCTGTTTAATGAGCTTTCTCTCTGCAGGTTAATGTATAATTCTCTATGTAATCATTCCCTGAAGTGCTTTATGAGTTACTGACTACCAAATTCATTTGGTTTGAGTTGAAACTGTTTGCAGCCTTTAACTAGCCCTGAATCTTCCCTCCTGTTTACCGTGTGCTGTACACATCTTTCTCCTCAGAAACATTTAAGCCATTGCACTTGAATAGTGGCAATGAGATGCAGTGGTTACACTGGAGAACTGAAACCCCACAGATTCTGCTCTGTTAGTTCTGCCACTCACTCTCTGTGTGACTGTGGGCAAGGGAGTTGACCTCTGTGCCTTATTTCATCATCTAGTAAGTGGGGATAGTGTTCACACACTCTGCCAAGCACTTTGAAGAGCTCTTGATGTTGAAAGCACTGTCTCTTGAAGTGCAAAACCCTCTTCCTGACAGGATTCTGTCTAAGCTTAGGAACCACTGTATATTTAAAATGTTATTTTTTGTATTTTTGAGAGAAGAACATAATCTTACTTTAATATATGTTAAGACTGGTAATTGTTTATGTGAGGATTCAAACAATGAAGATCATCACTTCAGAGCTTAACAAGTTACATAAATGGGGCACATCACCTAAAGTTGTACAGCTATTTTTGTTGACTAAATTAGATGTGTACAGATTGTTTTCAATGACTGACTGCTAACAAAAAAGATTTAACATGCTAATAAAATGCCTTGCCAAAATACATGCTTTCTGTTTTCAGGTTTGACTACTGGTAACACCTTTGCACTGGAGTGTTAAAATCCAGATAAAATGCCACTGTTACTTAAAAGAACATACTCAATTGTCACTTCAGCTTTAAAATGTCATATTTGTGATTTATATGAATGCTTATGTTACAACAAACAAAAAATTCTAAAAAACATGGTGAATTTAAAAGCAAAATTACCCACTTTTTTTTTTTTTTTTCTTCCAAGTCCAGACTACTTGGCCTGCTCCTGACTGCATGCTGCCGGACTTTGGCTAAGTATCTCCATGTGGTCAAAGTAATGGATCACTTTTATATAAATGGATCATGATAAGGGTAGACAGTGGGAATAAATCAATGCAAAGGTGTTTAGGCTTTTCACCTTTCCTCTCAGAATGGAGAAATAAAATTGGCATCCATTCTGCCACCAAAGTGAACCAGCATATTCTGCAGTTCTGCCTGAGAAGCCTGAAGTCTAGATGTTGTAAGAGCAGATAAATAAATACAGTAAAGCCTGTTACAACACTTATGACAATGTTGCTGATTAATTGTATAAGCTTACAGTAAATATTCTGGCAGTTTAATCCTAAACCTTCTGCTTTTATCTAAAACATTGTACAGTGTAGCCAGACTGCTGTCTGGTCATAAGTTTTTAGGAACCTGCACAGAATTCATTGTCAGCCATATATTTACGAATCCTGAAATGCTTAAAAACAGGTTACAAGCTAAATTCTGAGGCTACCAGTCAAGGAACTGTTCAATACTTTTCTTCTTTGAACTTTGTTATGTTCATTATGCAGTTATCCTTGCAGGGTTCAGTTCCATGCTGCAGTTTGAAAACACAGGACACTTGCACATACTGACTTCTCAGTGCTTTCCCTGCAACTAAAAAATCTGAAGTGTGGTGTTTAGAATTCTGTTTTGCTTTTCTGCAGATTACCAGTGAAGAAACAAGCTGCTGTGAATAGCAGGGCAATGACTAATCTTGCACCCTGCATTGCTTAAGCTGTCAGCACATATTGTAGCTTGCACTCAAGAAGCTGGCGTGACTTCTCATATCAACAAATGTTGCTTTTTGGACACCATTTGCTTTCTTTCTAGTGAATGCCTTTCTCTTAAAAGATGAAAATTAATCCTTTTTCTGTGTGTGCATTTTGAAGTCTAGGATTGCTTTGAATTAGAAAGGAAACCACTTCAGCCTTGTTTTTCAGTCCAGCTGCCAGTAATAATGATTTAGGAAAAAATGCATCCCTTAGAAACTATGTTTCAGAACAGCTCTCTAAATATCTTTACTACTTAGCCAGTAAACACCTTAACTTCTCTTTTTCTCACATAGACTAATCCTAACAAATCCGTCTCGCTGCTTTACACGTTAAAATGAGATTAAGGTTTTAGACATAAATGCAGGGCAGTAAGAGGACTACAGAAAGATCTGGGTTTGTAAGCATTTAACACCATTGTGTGTTACCTCTGCTCAATTTGTAAGTTACCCAGTGTGGTTGAACTCTAATAGGATCTCACTTTTTTTTTTTTCCAAATGCAAGTTTATCAGATTTTGGCTTTTTCTGAAGATCTTGGCTTTTTCTGAAGATTTTGGTTGGTTCTCCAGGTGCAAGTTGAAACAAATCCCCGAGAGGGAAAGCAAACACACTCTGGAGCCTGCATTTGTCTGTTGTGTGTGTAATTCCCCTGCTTGGCTTTCCAGTCCAGCATCTTGGGTTTTGATAAATGAATATCAGAGTATTTATTTCATATAGGCTGTAAAAGTAAATTACCCTGCCAGTAGGAAACGAAAGTGCTACTAGGGATTGTACAGCAATTTTTTCTTAGCATCTGAGAGGAAAAGGAGAGGACTCTACCTCATCACAAATTCTTCCAACTCAATGCCTATTCACAGGTTACAATTAAGGATGTTGAGCCTGGCATTGATCTTGCCAGTTGTTGAGGAAAGAGTTTTGCTTGCATTTCTTTGTTTGTGAAAGACTCATTTCAGTGTTGTAGCTGGTTAGTCATCGTGGTGAAGGTCATGGTTGGTGTTTAATAATGCCTATCCTCGTGTACTTGGATGTGGGGTTTTTCAGTCTTTTCCCACTTCACCTTAACTGTGGAAGCTAGTACGGGATTCATTCCTAATCACCAAGCCTGTGCCTGTGTGAGCACAGCAGCTGGGTACGTTTCCTGTCTCCCCATGTTTTCCAACCCTGCAGTAGACTGTGTCCCTGCCAGTATCCTGTGTGAGTATGGTTATCCCAGAGAAGCTGAGGCTGAGCTGGGAGTGCCTGGGAGGAGGCTGGTTTGCACAGCAGGCGTGCCCCAGCGTGCAGGAGCAGCCAAGGCTCCTTCCTGGCCATGCTTATCTTCACATGGGCAGAAGTCCATCTGAGCAGGCCTTTTTCCCAGTCCTCCTGCACTGCAGGTTCTTGCTAAGAGCAGAGAAGGAAGAAGTAATGCCTACTCTGCAGAGCTGTGATGTCAGGACCGCTTTTACTTAGTCATTAGAGACTAATTAAAGAGTCTGCTTCTTGCGGAGTCGCAGTCCCATGAGCTAAAGCAGTTCTCTATGTTCTATCCCTTTTCAGGTCCTCTATAAAACATGGTGAACAATAAATGGTTTTCCACAACAGAGGGACTACTGATCATATCTGTCCCAAGCAATTCTTCCAAATGGAAAAACCCATCCAGGCATATTCTCAGCATCTCACTGTAGGACGCTTACTGGTCATTTCTGGCTCATATTTTAATCCTACCTAATTGAAAGTATCTTTGGAATAGCAGGAAGCAGACTTTTGCTTCAGTTAGCAAACTTCCTACCCTATCCTGCAAATTTTTCTGACATGAGGAAGAATTTCCCTGTGTGACTAACTGAATGTACTGCAACACATTGCCCAGAGAAATTGTGGAGTCTCCCTCACTGGAGGGAGACCTGCCTGGACACAATCCTGTGCCCTGTGCTCTGGGTTGACCCTGCTTGAGCAGGGAGATTGGACCAGATGACCACTGTGGCCCCTTCCAACCCTGACCCATTCTGTGATTTGGTGATTTTACTTGCCCTTCACCAAGATGTCTCTCAGTGACCCCTAGCAGCTCTGCTTTAGTATCATCATGTAGGGGTCTCTCTCAAATACTTGTGTGTGTGCATATGTATAATTTTTTTAAAATTAATTTTGTCTGCTTTCTCTTCTGTTTCTCAGTTTTTTTCAGATGCTATTTTGGACTGGAAGGAACTGAAACAGCTGCAGCTGCACCAGGTGGAGAAGTTTGGACCAAGAAAACCCTCTAAGAATCACACAGAAGCAAAACTCTTGGGTCTTGTGTCAGGGTATGTGTGCATTCTTTAAAGGACTTCAAGTTTCCAAGAGCAGTGCTGCACAACCTTTGAAAGGCTTTCAGGATCATTGTTTAAAGGTGCTGCAGAGCCTTGTGAGCTTTCCATATTTTCCTTTGTGGTAATTGCTTTCCTCTCTGAACTGAATGCAGCACAGCACATCTGCCACAGCTGGCAAGCAGAACAGCACCAGCTAATTCACATCTAACTATTGCCACCCACAGAACATTTATTCTCACCTGAGTACTACAAACAGGCCTGCAGAACAATATCATGTTGTCATAAAGAGGTAATAGAGTCTAAAATTAATATTAGTCACCCTGTTCAGGATTTTAATATATGTCATTTTCATAATTGGCAACCTGTTGAATAGAATTTAATGGACCTGAATCACCAAGTGATGAGAAAAGAAGTGGAGAAATACTAAGCAAGTGGTGGTTCTTGGCATGCTTTTTTTATAAAAGAAACCCAACATAAATTTTCAGAAAAATAGTCCTGTAACACTTCTTAGGCTAATCATTGCTTTTCTTTTTGACTTTGACTGTCAGGTGACTATTATGTTTATAGTTAATTCCCTTTCTTGCCCACAATGACAGTGAGAATGTATAGAAATTATCAGTTAAAAAAAAAGAAAGGTTTTTTTCAAAGAGAAAGGATTAATGGGAGCCAGTCCTATGTATGTGCAGAATTAAATTTCAATAACAGAACTTCTTATGTGTAAGTTCAAGCACATTGACAAAATGAAGACATCAATCTCAGGATTTTTTAAAAAAATTATATGTAGTGGATTGCTCTGGGTTTAATCCTTAAATGTTGTGGTGCAAAAAGGAGAAAAGGGATGTTTCAAAAAGCCCAATAAACTTCAGTTGTATTAATCTGTATCAACCTAAAAGTATGGATGTAGGGAAAAATAGATAGCCAAGACAGTATTTTCTGAAGCTGATTTTATATTTGTCTCTGGGTGCACTGCTTCTGCTCTGGACTTTACATAAGGCTGCTGTAGACATTTTTGGCTATAGCAAAAGCCATATGGTCTGGCTACCAAAATTAGATTCTGCTTAGCTTACAGCCTACAGAGGCTCCAGCAGCTGTGCTGCCGACCTTTGAGAGGAGGAAGGAAAGGGCTTTCCTTTGCATCACTCAGTCACAGCCCACAAAACATCCCTGTATTTGCATGTGCTGCTTGCAGTTACCTACTGTCACACCTCAGCTCATCTGCTGACACCCAGGACCTGGCTGTGAATTAAAACTGCCTTACCATTTTAACGTCTCCTTGTCCAAACTGTTTTGCCTGCCTCCTTTTTCTGCACTTTTTCAGCAGGAGAACATCATCACATGAAATTATAATACCTTGTGCATGGATCTTTCAAGCAAGGGAGCAGCTGTGGTAGCTAAACATTGAGAATCTGATCTTCTTCACAGTCTCTGATATTGTGAGGATAGAGCTCTTCAAATTCAGCACTGCTACAAATCCTAACAAAACTCTTAAAAAAACATGGCCCTAATGAATCACTGTAGGAAACTAACACTGAGCCAGACCAGAGAGACTTCAGGGCTACCTGGAGGAGGCCCATCTGCAAGCTGTGATTTCTTTCTCAGTCTGGGTTTTTTATAGACACTGTAATTTAGCGACATTTAGTTCAGAGGCTTTTTGGTTCTCACTCTGTGGTTATGTAAAAATGTATCATTTTCTAAAGCCAGTGGGATATGCAGTTGGGTGAAAAGTGCACATTGTTATTAAAATGAGAAATCAGTTGGTTTGGGTTTTTGCAATTTCACATAGCTTTGTCTGCATGAAAATCACAACTGTCTCCTCTGCAACAGGACTCTGACACGTGAAAGTTCACAGTGCTCAGAGATGAGAAGTGACCTGACCCCGCTGTGCTGACAGAAGTCCAAGCTGAACCTGCAGCTGTCCCACAAAGCAGCTTTTGCACATGCTGCACGAGGCAGGAGAGAGCAAAGCTGCCGCGCTGGCACAAAGCTTTGCTGCGGGAGCCGGGACCCCTCTGGAACGGCTCCGTGCGCGCTGCCGGCGGGAATGATGGCTCAGCAGTGCCCAGCACACGCAGCTCTGGGTAGGAGTTTCTGTGCCAAAAGGAGGCACACACTTTACACAGGGTGTAATTAAGCTGTAAATCTCATTGCCACAGAAATTTGTGGATGCCGGACTTTCACATTTCCCTGAAAAGCAAGGAAATTTAAATGGAAAAGAGCTGCCAGGGGGAATTAAACACAGAGATACCAGGAAATCTTTGAGCAGAGGCTCACTGGAGGCTGGGAGTGGAGTGGGGAAACAGTTCTCTCATGTTTGCTTTTACTTAACACTTTTTGCTGGGCAATTGCTATTAGCAAGAGTCTCTTCATCCTTTAAATATTATTGACAGCATCCATCAAGAGTTCTGGAAAGAGCTAGCTTCAGTCCTCTGCTCTGCCACATGTTTTCTGTGTAACCTGGTTTTTCTTCCTTCAGGGGAAAACAGAAATTGGAGCATTTCTAACCTCCCACAGAGTTGAAATCTGTTTACATTAGGCCTGGGAAGTGCTTAGAAGTGCAGGGTGGGGTGTGGGCTGGTGTCTGATGTTGCCGTGGAGCTGGGCCCTGTTGACGGACTCAGACTCATGGTGGCCAGACTGCCACAGGTTGCACACATGGTGGATGTCTGAGGCAGTGAGGGTGGTGGGGCTGCTCCAGCACCTGGTTTTCCATGTGACCAAGTTTATTGCAGAGGTGACCCCTTGGGCTTCAGCCCCAGCACAAGTTTGGAAGCCGCAGGGAGTGTGTGGGCTTGAAGCGAATTATATTTATGTAGTCCATAAAAGCAATCTAATATTAAGTTTGCTACTGTAGAGGACTAGTGATAATGGACAATGTCTAAACAATATAACAAAACTAGACTTATTTAAAAAACAAAAGATCAGTTTTCCTTAGTGCCTCATTCAGCTGAACAGGAATTTCACTCTTATCAATTCTCCTTTCTTAGACAAGTTAGAGGCCTTAACTTACCATAAAATCACAGGTGCATTTTCATCCTTCTTTCTTCTAAGCTTACTCCCTCTGACAGATGTCCTTTGGGGCACTGCTTCCATGGCTCAGCGCTGCCAGTGCCATAGCTCTCCCAGCAGGCGATGCTGGACCTTCTCAGAGCAGCAGCAATTAAACACACTGCAGGAAATAATTCATAGAGAGACTGTCTTCTGGAATGGAAGCAGAGCTCTGCCCAAAGGTCTGTCAAAATTTCAGTAGTGAAACAGAGATGGCAGTGGTTGTTTCCCCAGGCTGATGGGCAACCCATATCTCTGACCTCAGCTGAGCTGCTCACTGACAACCCTGTGACAAATGCCTGTGATAACCATGGTCTCTGATGATTACTTTTTTCTACCCTGCAGATACCATAACTGGAAAGGGAAGTGAAGGAGAGTCAGTTTATGGTCCTAGTTTTGAAGGTATGTCTCCCCAGCTATCTGACAGTGCAAATTGTGAATTTCCACAAAAATCAAGTTGTTGATCTGATCTTATTCACATAACAACCAGGGAATTGCTTTTCATCTCCCAGCAAAATGGTTTGGTTTTCAGTCAGAATTATAATCTGCTTGTACTAGCAAGACTGCTTTAGTAAAAACACTTTGATCTATAACCTTATGCCCTCTTATGTTCCCTGCCTGAGGCTCAGTCCCTTGTCCTTGCCTAAATGACAGCTGATGGTCACCCACTGCCTACTTCAAACTTCAAATACCTTTGTGGACAGGACCCTAGAAATGGAGAAGCAGATTAACTACAGATCTCCAGGCACACCTACCACCTGTTTAAATGCCTTTAAAGGAACTGAGGTATGTCAGCTTTACCTCTAGCAATCTCCTGGACCTCAGGCAGCTTCTCAGGCTTGGGCAAGCATTAGGCATTGCTGTCAGCAGCCTCAACTCTGTAGAAGGGGAGTTCTGAATCTCATATAAAACCCTGAAAGTCGAGAAATTACAAACATGACCTAAATTTAACAGAAAATATTCCCTCATACTGGCATAAAGTAATAAAATGTAAATAAAAAAAGAACATTTTAACTTCTGATATTTAAGAAAAACAACTCATATCATTGACATAGGCATTTGGGATTTTCTGTTTAGATTAAATGCTACCCATTAAGACACTTTATGACAATTAAAGCACTTTTGAAAATTATTTATGTTCCCTTATATAAAAGCTTTCCCACTGGCAATGGTGCAAACCATTTGAGCAGGCTGGGCAGCAGCCAACGCTGATATCAGAAATGCTAAGTGCAGCTGAAAAGTTTCTTTCCCAAGATGCTGAAGAGTCTGCTTGTGAGGAGAATCTGCTCTCACCTCAAGGTCCCAGGTTGGATGGAGCACAATGCAGTAGCACTGGCAAGCAGGAAAGCTGCTGGAGGTAGAAGCCTGGTGTGTGGGATTTAAAGCACTAAATGCTATGAACTTCCTGGAGTGGAAAGAAAAAGACAAAAGTCACTTCATTGATGCTGGAGCTCCTAAAACAGGAGCAAGCCCAGGCTCCCAGGGCATACGTATCTCTGAGAACATAACATAAGCTGGTAGTGGAAAAAAAAAAGGACTGGCTGTTGAATTGTTTCCAAGGTGGATGGCACCAAGGACTTAAAATTTTACAAATCCTCTTTTCCAGCAATGTTATCCAATCTATTTGTGCTAGAGCCCATCTTGCACCTTTTGCACTTTCTGTTTGGGTAAAACTTGTAATTTTTTTATGACCCATAGATTTTCTTGATTTACACATCAGGTAGAAACAAGTTTGCATGTACCCAGGCTCCTCTGCACACAGGGGAGCCATGGCAGCTCACATGTTTGACTCCAGCTCCATCACCCTCCCCCAGGCAGAGCTTGTGTTTTCCCTGTGCTACTCAGGAAAGAAGCTGCCATGTCATCTGGGAAGGGGACAATACACCAAAAACTGTTTCAGTAATTTTAAGGTGGGTTCCATTTGGAATTGGTCAGCCTTGAATGTGTCCCTGCAAGAGTTTTGTTACTCATATTGCACATAGTCCATGTGTTGATGCCTTAAAGGAGGAGATTGCTACTTCTGTTCTCCCCCTCTTTAATTAAAGATTGCTTTCCACCCTTAAGAAAGGTGTTCCCTTGGGAATGCCTTTCTATTTTTTTAGATTGCTGTCCCGATACTTCCCGCAAAGCTACTTTACCCTGAGGGCAGAGGACAAATAACTTTGATATCTGGAAAGGGTGAGCAATGCCTCTGTGAGCTACTAATATTCTGGGAGACTCCATGCTTGGCACGTGTCTGGGCACTGCAATTAATGGGTGGAACCTGCTGGAATTAATGGGACACAACCTCCTTTTACTGTAATGAGATGAGAGGACTGAGGCAATTACACAGAATCACTCGTACGGGAGCACTGTGTCAAAGGACAAAACATCCCACTCCAAAATTAGTCTGCTGAAGTAATTTTGCAAGCCATAAGGCAGAGTAACTGTTCAGTTAAAATTTAACTGCCATTTTTATGAATCAGTTTCTGAGAAAGGATCTCAAACAAAGTAACAAGAATAAAAAAAATCAGAGAAAAATAAAATCTAAATATTTCTTCACTTTCCTTAAAGCTTGTTGAGAGCTCGATGGGGCTCTTGACTGCTCATTGTGATCAGGTCAGATGGTAATGGAGGATGACAAGATCACTGGACCCTCTGTTCCCCACCCCAAAGCTGGCTCCTCTCCACAGAAAAGGAAATCAAGTCCTTGCCATAATCCCCCAAACCCAAGCACACCTAATGCTTGCTTCTCCCCAGTCATCACTCTTTAAAGTAATTTCTTTTCTCTCACAAATCCTTTCCCAGCCAGAGTGGAGGATCCTCTTCACCTCCTCACAGCTCTCACTCCCATCGCCTACCTCCTCTCCTAACCCTGGAAAAAATCTTCTACTCTAGGAGCACCCTGGCCTCCTTAACTCAGTACCTGCTCTCCATTTATTCAGTTCTGTCATCTTATTTAGATAAGAAAGTATCCTGCTAGCCCTCCTGTGCAAGTTGCCAAGGGCTGGGAGCAGCTGTGTATCCCACCCCAGCCAGCCGTGGGGGTCCTGACTGTGCTCTCAGGAGCCTTGTTCCTCTGGCAGCGGCATGAGGGGAGGCAGAGCTGAGCCTGTGCTTGGAGCACCCCCTCTGCCTCCTACCTTCCCATCTGTACAGTGGCAATAATCACCAGCAGCCATAGGGAATTGCCATGATCAGTATCTTGAGCTACTCTGGTGAGAGTCATTACAGACCAACGACAGGGATCCAGCGTGCTTTTTTATGGAGACATTTTCATTAGCTTCTTTACTGGCTAAAAGATGGATTTAAACCAGACTTTGCTGGCATAAGACTCAGTGCAACCTTTGAGGGAAAGGAAAAAGGTGAGAGCAAAAGAAGGAAAGGGAGCTTGAGGGAGCTGGTAAAAGGGACTTGTACAGTGAATAGCAGCAAAGGGAGCACCACAACTGCAGCCCTTTATCCCCCAGCTCTTTCCCTGGATGAAAGCTTCTCCATTCATCACAAAGGAAGAGGAATCCCCAGGATGGCCAACAAGAGTCACCACAGGAACAGCTCACAGTTCCACATCACCTTCCAGCCAACGCTCCACCTGGACAAGAAATATCTTACTCAAGCTAGAAAACCCTTCCTTGGCAAAACCAAGGAAGCTGCCAGGGCATCTCCAGGACCAAAGGTTACAAACTTGTGGCCGCAGAGCTCAGTGTCAGCTCAGGGTGGGTCCTGACAGACAGGAAGGTGTTTCACAAAACCTCCAGGCTCTGCTCTGCCCGCACAAGCTGAAAAACATTGTTTTAGCAAATGCATACTAGAAGTTTGTTCTCAGTAGGTTAACATAAAAGGACTAGCCTGTTAAAATTTTTAGATTTTCAGGAATATAATAAACAAGAATATTGCTTTGAGCAGTTTGCTTGATGGAAGAGAACAAAATATTTAAGTATTACCACAGAGAGAACAATTCAGAGTGTAGTTTCCATGTTACCACACCATGCAAAAAGACAGCATTTTTAACAGTAGCAAAATAGCATAACTTTCTAACTTTCAAACCTACAGAGAACAACCAAAAGCTGGATATATTCATAACCAGCAACATTTGCTTCAAGTTGCTGCCTTGCCACCAGCTCTGTGCAATCTGAAAGGTGTAGGATCCATGATCTTATAGCCAGGCCCTCCTAAATCTGAGTGGGAATTTAATCCTGAGGAAGCAAAACAACCCACAGTGTACAGCAAGGACACAGACAAGGTACAACAAGGACAGCCAGGGACTTTCCAGGCTCTGCTCTGTTCAGATTTTCTGATGTCCCCTTGGACAAGGGATGCCTGCAGCATCCCCCTTGCTTGGTACCACTCTTCTGGATGGGGTGGGGTAGGATGGGATACAGAACAAAGCTTTCTGGAGCTCTGCTGGCATCCATCGCTGTGCCGGCGCCTGCAGGAGGCACAGCTTGTCCTCCCACAGTGTGAGAGAAGGACAGCCTGAAAATCACAGAGATCACAAAATGCTGGGCTGCTTTCAGGACTCAGATTAGTGCTGTGAAGGAAGAAAATGAAGGATATTTCACAGGGAATCATTTCTAATACTGTTACTTCTCACTGTGTCTCCTGACTACATCTCAAAAGTACTGGCCATTTGTTGCTGGGGCACATGGAACAGCACTTGCTTCTTTAAATAAATGTAGCTGCATAAAAGCTATAGTATTTTCACCTCTTCTGAAATGCCAACTGGAGGCTACTTAATCAAAAACTGACAGCACTCATTGTGAAGAAGAACTTTCTAAAGAGTGTAGTGAGTGTAGCCTGTCCATAGGAAACAGGTGCCTGGGTTTTAATGGCCCCACACAAAACAGAGGCTGCAGAGCTTGGCTTTGGATGGAGATGGATCCCATGGGCACTTTCTCGTTCCTGTAGGCAAGTGATCAAGGACATGGAGATCCTCCAAACACTGGAGGCTGTACCTACATATAACAAAAGGCCTACAGTAGCCTGCAAGATAATTAACTGAGACACCTTCAATTCATGATTCCCAGATGGTTTTCTTGACTGCTGTAAGGCAGAGCATTATTTCCCACTCAGCTTTTCACAGACCATGATGACTTTCACTTACAGCAAAACTAAAACCATGTCATCTTGCTCATGTGAATGGCTTGGAAACATGTTTTTTTTGGCTTAAAAATAAATGTTCACAAGGTGTTAAGTATTTTTACAGGAGAAGAGAAAAGGACCTATGAACATAGTGCACCTACAATTTATGGGAAATAATGTTATGATGATTATATAGTTACAAGCACTGATACGATATAATGACATCTCAGACAAAAAAATAAGAAAAATATGTTTGTAGGACTGTAGCCTCAGTGAAGGCCAAACATTTGATCCTGCTCTGATTACTGTAAACTAAAAGTAAAGTCCTTGAAATCACGTTGGCTGCATGAGGCTAAAACCAGGAAATGCTAAAGCAGGAAAAAGATTTAAGTATTTTTTTATAACAGATGCTCTCAATTAAAAAGAAAGTGACTGTTACTGAAACAGAGGAAAATATTGTTTATAAAGTTATTGCAATACTGTTAAGGTTATGTTTGGATGTAAATACAGAATCCAAAATGACTGCCATTGTCAGTGATTTCTTGCATGCAAGATCTCTGTGACACACAGTGCAGAGCTGGTGCATGGATTGCTCCAGGGGAGAAGGTGTGTCAAAGATCAGAATGCAGGCTGGAAGGAGAGGCCATAAGCAAGTGCACTGGAGGTTCAAAGGAAAGAGCTGGGATGGAAGCACAAGGCTAAACCAGCCCTGCTGTGCCAGGGCAACCCGGACACCATCAGAGTGCAGCTCTCCCACCCCACTCCCTGCTCTGCCAAGAGTGCTGTGCTCAGTGAGTGACCTTTGCTCCTGGGCTCACTGCATGAGCTGCTAAATCTCACAGAACAGCACCAGGGTAAGATGGGGAAGGCTGAATTAGGGAAGTATTTGGAGAGACCTGATTTTGTCTGAGCTTAAGTCCACAGATTTCATGAAAAGTAATGGCCTTAAGTTTACTTGATAAAAGGGAACAAATTTAGAAAATCAGCAAATGCTTAACTGAATGCCTGAAGAGGGCATAGACCCAGAGTGATCTCCAGAGACTCTGAGGATGAAGATTGTGTTAATTTTAGCAAGGGAATTTAGGTTTTTCTTTAGCGATGATGAAAAACAAGAAGATTATTTAAACTAAAATACTTTTGTATATCTGCAGCTAGCTAAGAAGCCTGTAACACATTTCATCCTTCCATTTTCTAAAGCATTCTGCAATCTATACACAGACTATTATATAGGAATTAAATCTTCTGTAGGAACATTTCAAACCAAGCTGCCTTGAGAGTAATTTTTTTCACTTCATAGTTCTGGGTTAAATATTAAAATAGACTGTGATATTTTCTTCATAAAACCCACACTTCCTGACAAGTTACTTTTTGTAAGTAACAGAGACTGCTGCTATGAAAAGATATGGTTTTGCATACTCAGTATTGAGACAGAGGTTAGTGGCTCTTATTTCTTGCAAGGATTTTAAATTGTACTCAGATGTTTAAAGTCAGGAAAGCAATTTTAGTTCTGAAGACAATCAAGGACAATGTTAAGAGGCCAGTTAATTGATTTTTTTATTTGCTGTTGGTTTGGTCACCCATGGCAGGTCTGCTCTGTGGCTGCCACCCCAGTGTCTCAGTGTTCCACAAGAGATCAAAGCAGAACACAGCATGTGATTTGTGTCCAGATGACCTCATCTGAGCAGATGTCAGAGCCCAGAAACCCATTCTCTGGCAGTGGGCAATGTTCAGGGACTCTGAGGGCAGGCAAATGCCTCATCACATCAAGTACCAGAAGGCTGATGCTGTGCCAAAAGTCACAGACCTGGTGACAAGGATGATGGCTGAATGTCCAGCTGGATGCCATACAGACAGGATCTAGGACAATGGGAATGCATGGGAACTGGGCAGGGGACAACTGGCTGAAGTTACACCACATGAAAAAAGTTATAACGAGAAGAGAAGGGTACAACCAGGAAATATCTTCAATTTCAGGCATAACAATTCTTCGGGCAAGCCATAATTACAATGTATCTGCATTGGTCATGGCAGGACACTCTGCCAGAAAAAAGCATGGTAAAATCTTTCATCCAGTATTAAGTGGTCATCTAAAGAAACAAGCGTGTCTTTCAAGCCTGATTCCCCGGTGCCAGCAAGTTGGAGTCCAAGGCTATGAACAATGAAGCAGAAATGAAATATTCATCTTAATCCAAAATGATGTTTCATGACATATTTTCTGCTACAACTTACATCTCTGGTCAAGTCACTAGGAATACAGTGCTGCGTCTCAGAGTGCCATACCAGAGGAATAGCACACACAAGCATCCAGAGGACATGCAAGGCCAGAGGCAAGCCATAGGGTCTCCACAAAGTCAGGAAATTCAGAGGCAGTTGGCAAATGGGGAGGTAAAGACTTTCATTGTCAGCTGCTGGGTTTGGAGAAGTTCACTTCCCAGCAAAACTCCCTTCTACAAAGAACAGCTGGCAGCAACATGCATTCTGAGAAAACTATTATCTTACCAGATTACACAGTGTTTCATTTATGTAATGTGTCACCACTGTAAGAAAAACTGGTATCTTTCAAGTTGTGCTTTATTGGGTTTTCTTTTAAGTTTATGAGCTTCTTACTCCAGCAAAACACTCTCTTAGACACTGCTTTAAATGAAAAGTGATGAAAGAAGCCCTCAGACTACACACCAGTTTTCTTTACACAGGCGTATGTGTTAAAAGCACAAGGACATTGTGTTATACAGCACAGACAGTTGGCTCCAATCATTCCCCCTACTTATTCAAGCACTGATGAGACAAAAGTTGGAGGCCAAAGTCATTATCTACAAGGTAGTTTACCTAATCTGAAGCCAGAGGGTTTCTGAATCTGATCCAGGAGGGCTGCTAAAGCCAGCAGAAATTGTTAGTGTGGCTTCTCAGCTGTGTGGGTACTCCACACGGATCTGGGGAAGCCCTGGGATCTCTGAAGTATATGTTCATTTTCATGCTATCAGACAGACCTCTGACAACATATTTCACCTTCCTACAGACCAGCCTCACCTTCCTCTTTAGCCTATTACAGCTACAGCTCTCTGCCACTGTCCTTCATATACTTTTTTGCTTGGGATACCCGTCACTAATTCACTGTGAAGTGGATCAGTGATCCCCATCTATAAGTCAGACAAAAAATTCTGGGGATTTTTCTGACTACCAGTTCCAGGGAGGAAAAAAAAGGTGCTCAGAGGGACTGGTTTTGAAAAAACTTCACTGATAATATCAACTATGCAGCACATCAAATGGATCAGAATGATGTAGTACAGCTATTGCACAAAGAAAATGCGTAAGTGGAATGACTTTACAAACTTCATAGAAAACATCTTGATACTGTAATTCTGATAAGATTTAGGATGTTAAGAGGCAGTAATGGGTGGCCAGACCAACAGAGCTCAATTGTGCCTGTACCTCAGTTGCTGTGTGGGAAGAAGCACTGGTCCAGGCCATCAGGGCACAGCAAGAGCGCAGGCAGCCCACAGGTGTTACATCTCAGGCAGGGGCCAGATGCAAGAGCCTCAGAAAAAAAACATCTACCGAGAAAAAGTTGTGGAGACTCTCCTGAAGTTTTTTCTCTTGAAAAACTCCCAGGTTGACCAAGGCATTTTTATCAGCCAGCCTTGAGGACACAGCTAAACTCCTAGGGAATATGCTCCTGCCCTGAACAGACCAAAGCCCATCACTGTATTACACTATCACCAACTAAAAAATGCATATTAAAAATTCAGTTAAAATGGATGTACTGTTGCAAGAACTCCATCTAAGCATTAGCCTTATTTTCCTTTGGTCACCTAAATCAGCCTGTCCTCATTCTCTGGTTGGCTGCAGCTGCACAGGTGAAAGGTCTATTCTTTCCACTCCATCTTACCCCTACCTGTTGCCTTCTATTCTTCTTCTCATGACATGTCTCTTGTTTGCCTTAGGCCAAAAACATCAGCCTGTATCTCTATCTCTAAAAGAGTTAAGAAAGTATTTTTAATATTATTTTATCACTAACCACTCTATTATTTTATTTGTTCCTTATGTTAAAAGCAGCCTTTCCACCCCACCTGGTGGGGCTGAGTGAGTGCCTGTAACAGAGAATTCTTATGTACCAAACACAGCTCCACCATGTCTGCCTCAGGCAAGCAGCTGGTACAGTGCAGGTCCCACTGTCCTCACCCAGAATTCCTGCTGGGGACAGACAAACAGACATCTTAAATACACCCCTGATGTCACGCAGCACGGCATACACCACCCTAGATGTGCCTATGGCTGGCCACACCCCTAAGCGGGATTTACTGCCATACTGCCTCAGGATGCAACGACGAACAAAGGTTACAAAGCTCTGGGCACAGGAATCAATGCATTATTTCTGAACAATTCACCATTCTGGTGAACGTCACCAGGACACAATAATGCATCATTATGTAATGGTAACAAAGACCTCAATACCTCCTTGGATGCTGTTTCCCCTGTTAAAACACCCACTATGTATTTACATTCCACATGCACTTCCCTTTCCGTGCACTTGAAATGACAGTATGGAAATGAGAACCAATGTTTACAAAATGAAGGAAATATATATTCCCTTCAGTTTATCTACTAAATTTTGGTTTTCTTTTACTGCTGTCAACCCAAACTGCTGTATACTCCTGTAGAATCTCTTCAATCCATTATCACATCTTGCCAAGCACCAATTGATACAACACAATCTGCTCCAAATCCTGGGCATTTGCTATGTTTCAAATGTGCTTCCCTAAAATGGGCATCTGCAGACTCTTAGGTTTTGCCCATCTTGTCAAGGATTTTACATAATTTTCCAGTAATGCAGTGCTTCGAATTCCTTATAGATTCAAAACAGAGGTAAATGCCTTACTAACCACTAAGTATACAACAGTGCCACGAGAACTGAATCCAGTGATGAATGTGGTGTTTTAAATCCAACAACAACAACCCAGACTGCCATGATCCTGCTGACTGTATGCTGCAACAAAGTCCCAAGATGCTGACTATATGAAAAAAACAGACAAACCACATTTATCTTTTCCCTGGATTCCCACCAGCCCCCAGAATGATAAACATGTTTTCACTCGCTTGTGGAGATATTCTTGCCCTTGCTAGTCTCTCAGTTCTATTTTTTAATGTACTTCATTTTCTCCCACTTTTTCCATACACATAAACACTGATTAGAGTCTTATTTTTTATCTTATTTAACTTAATTGGCCTGTTACTTTCACAAAAGAAGAGATTTTTAGTATGCACTCCTGATGAAATGTAGATTGCAGCAACCATTACACTTCATGTGTCCAGCACATCAACAGAACTGCCACTGCAATGCCTCATAAAACACCAATAACTACTGAAGATACATATGCATTATAACCCACAAGACCTGCAAAAAAGAAAACCTCAGTTCAAATAATACCACGTGCGTAGTGAAATCTCAGTACACCCTCTGAATCAAGCCCTGATCCGAGCAAAGACCCTTGTCCCAGAAGGACATAAGAATCTCAGCAGGTATG